ATGAATCTCTCCTCGCTCTCCGTTCTCTTTCAGTATTCTCACTCCGTTTGGTGTTTGGCTGAGTTCTTTATCTCTTCATTTGATTTTCTAGGGTTTCAGAATTGTTGATTCTCTGTTTGGCTTAGTTTTTCGGATCTTTGCTGTGGAGGGACGGCGTGGTGCTTCTGCCTAGAGCGCCATCTTGCCAGCTTCCCTCTATGTCTACATTTTTTGAGTCCCTCCTTTTTGTTTTAATGTTGTCATCTTTTACATATTGACACCTGTTTCCCTATTTTCAGTGTTTTTGCTTTAATTTACTTTTGTGACTACCCTATCTGGGTTAACATTTAGTTGCTCTGTCCTGTGTTCTAGTCTTGGGTTGTTATCTGATGTTGCTGATTTTCTAACTGGAGGATTTCCTTTATTTGGTTTGGTTTTTGCAAATTCCCTAAACTTCTGCTTATCTGGAAATGCCCTAATTTCGCCATCATATTTGAGAGACAGTTTTGCTGCATATATAATTCTTGTCTGGCAGTTTTTCTCCTTCAAGTCTTTATATATGTCATCCCATTGCCTTCTTGCCCACTTGGTTTCTGCTGAGTTGTCCGGGCTTATCTTATTGACTCTCCTTTGTAGATGACTTTTCGTTTATCCCTAGCTGCTCTTAAAATTTTCTATCTTTGGTTTTGGCAAGTTTGATTATAATATGCCTTGGTAACTTTCTTTTAGGATCTACCTTATGTGGGGTTCTATGAGCATCCTGGATAGATATCTTGTCATCTTTCACAGTATCACAGAAGTTTTCTGCCAACAAGTCTTCAACAATTCTCTCTGTATTTTCTGTTATGCCCCCTGTTCTGGTACTCCAATCACTCGTAAGTTATTCCTCTTGATAGAGTCTCACATAATTCTTAGGGTTTCTTCATTTTCTAAAATCTTTTTATCTGATTTTTCCTCAAATAAGTTGGTGTCGAGTGCTTTATCTTCAATCTCACTAATTCTGACTTCCATTCTCTCAATTCTGCTCCTATGACTTTCTATTGAGTTGTCTAATTCTGAAATTTAATGTTAATCCTCTGGATTTCTGATTGCTGTCTATGGATTCTTGCAGCCTGTTAAATTTGTCATTATGCTCTACTATTAATTTTTTTAATTTCCTCTATTGCGAGTTCTGCATTTTGCTTAATTTCCTTCCTAATTTCTTGAAGAGTTCTATATATTAATCTTTTGTATTCTGCCTCTGGTAATTCCAAGAAATTTTCCTCCTCTGGAAAATTTCTAGATTCTTTATTTTGGGAGCTTGCTGAAGCCATCATTGATTGCCTCTTTATATGATATGATATTGACTGTTGTCTCCGAGCCATCAATAAGTTATTATATTTATTTATTTTATGTCTGCTTACTGTGTCCTAACTTCTTGTTTTGTTTTGGTATGCCCAAATAGGCTGCTCATATGAGCTAGTTTGATTATTGGCACCTTTGAAGCTCTAATGTCCTGTCACCACGTGGTTAGATCTGTTACTAGGTATGTGAGCTCAGGAGACTGCCCATTCTTCCTGTATGGATTCTCCTCAGGTGCCCAGGTAGATAGCCACGAAGTGTGTGGTGTATGCTCTCACTTATAGTCCTAGACAGGCATGGGTGACTGGTGTAGGCACAGGCATCTGGCTGCAGCAGGGGGACACACTCTGAGTAAGGTAGGGTGCTGACGGCCACCTCCGAGTGTCCAGGAGGAAGGCGTATCCCTGTTCCCTAGGGCACGTAGGTGGGTGGGTTTTGTAGCCGGACTATGAGCACCTAATGTTGTTGGCTATAAGAACTGGGGCGGACTTCTTATTCATGGGCCTCTCTCGCAGGTGGCTAGGTGGTGTGGGTGGAGCCAACAGTCCTCAGGCCCCTGATGTGGTTAGGTGAAGACCGTGCTTAATGGGTAGAGCAGTGTCAACTGTCAAGAACCTGCCACTTCACAGCTGATATAGTTGAAGTTAGAGTTCCGGTATATACCCTGTTGTACCGTGGTAATGAGGGCCTACGCTGTCGAGATGGGCGCACACAAGTCTATGCAGGGGGAAAGGTACTCAAAGTCCATGGATCCCTTATGCCTGTGCCTAGGCAAAGGAAGTGTGCCTACCCTGGGTTCCTGGCTTAGGGGAGCTGGCAGTTTATTTTTTCTGCTGTTTGTTAATTTGTTCACTCTCCAAGGCAGGGAGAATGGCTCCAGGAGTTTGACAGATCCTACTTCCGGTCCAGGAGAACTGGCAATTGCTGAAGCTGGTCCAAGATCCAGTGCAGAGCAGGGAGCAGGGAGGTAAATGGGAGAGAGGTTTTTCCCTAAGGCGCGTGTTTTTGATCTGCATGGTAGGCCGTATGCAATTACTTATCTTTCGCCGGATCGAGGGCTGCTTCTCACTGGTTCTGGGTGGCCATGTAGACTCTCTGGCACTGGGTCTCTCCTGGTGTGGAAAACGGGCCTCCAGAGCACAGCTGCTTGCCTGTCTCACCGCTCACCCATGAGCTGCTCAGGCCTGAAGGGCTCAGGCAGTCACCGGCTCAGGTCTGGCAACTCCTTGCTGCTTCCGAACCGTCTCTCCCTCCCCCACCACTCAGTCCGTTTCCTCAACTCTGTCTTTGATGTTCAGGGCTCCCAGATTGCCATATATAATCGAATCACTTGTTTTTTCGGGTCTTTGTTTTAAGAGAGTCCACTGTAAGTGTCTGACTACTCCGCCATCTTGGCTCCACCTCCTGAAGTCTAAGTCTTAAGTAGCTGTTATCCGAGTTGACTAAGGTATCTCAATAATTACTCGTTTTTACTCACATCAGTAGTTACAATAACTTGGTTTTATTCACCAACAGTAAAAATGTTTATATCATCACTATATGCTCCCTATTTTTTATAACAACTGCAATACTAAGTCAAAACAGCCATCATTATATGTACTTAAACCTAAAATAAATCATTTTAAGGCAACTTGCTGACATAAATCTTGAAAATGTGCATTTTCATAAAACATATATCATCTCTATGCTTTATGTTTTAAAATAAGAATGTTCTTATTAATAATTAATATAAAAACAGAAATTAAATTGACTGTCTTATAAATAAATAGCTTACCCAAGCAGATCAGCTATAGCAGCCTCATCAAAAATGAAAATATACAGGCTAAAAACTCCAGCCACTAACGATTGGCATGAGGCTACCACCCTGAAATAAAACAAAATACATACAAAGAGTTTAGATTCTTTGCACCAAACTTTAACCCATTCTGGGAAGACATTTAGCATTCTTAAGAAGTTATATCTAGAAGCATTTAAATAACATAGTGGAATACATCTAACAGCATAATATAAAATTGCCATTTAGAAATCCAAGGGCCACACTTTACTTTGGAATGAATAACAAAAATAATGCCTGTGACTGCAGTCCTCTGCTAGACAACCAAGGAATCACTTCTTGGTGAAGAGCTCTAAAGCAGAAGCATACGTAATAATGCAGTTGATGGAGTTTTCTACAGACAGATGGCAACTGATAAGCCCATTACCCAGCACCCTGCTCCCAGCTCCGTCTCCAACAGCGTCACTGCAGGCTGAGCTCCCTGCTCTTTAGGAAATCAGTTGGGAATGCTTCCAAATCTACTGGCCTTAACCACCTCCTTATCCTTAAAACAGAGCCCTGGTGGCACAGTGGTTAAGAGATTAGCTGCTAACCCAAAGATCAGCAGTTCGGCAGTTGAAATCCACCAGCTGCTCCTTGGAAATCCTATCGGACAGTTCTACCTTGTCCCATAGCGTCGCTAGGAATTGGAATCTACTCAACAGCAACGGGTTTGTTTGTTTTTTGGTACAGTTAAAACAATTCAGATGGATCATGAAATGAAGATGTATTACCTGGAAGATTTCAGTTTTAAAGGTACATCCACATGCATAATTTCATTTGATTTTTGTAACAAAGCCATGAGAAGCCTAGGGCAGCTATTATTAATCCTTCTTTAACAGTACTATGAAAGCCCCTATAAACAGAGAAATTGAGGCCTGTGTACAGAGAATCGGTTATTAAAAGGAGCACCCAAGTGAAAGCAAAATGTTCACAAGATCCAGGTCCAGTTTTCTTTTATAGAAAGAATAGGTTTAAATGAAAAACGTCAGTTTCTATGAACATATCCTGCTAATTAATAATTTAATGACTCAAATGATGCCCAAATTCTACAATGTGCCACTTAAAGATCTATATGTAGGTTACTGTGTATTTAGCCAGACAGTGAAATTTTTTATCCAACAATTTAGGGTCTCTCACATCTTGATTGAGTGTACAAGTAATGAAGTTTCTTTTCTCTTCATTAGAATAAAAGTTGAAAGGAATAGCAAAGCTTTCTCTCTAGAAGTTACTGGTGTGCAATACATATCTCTTTACAAAATGACCCCAAATCTTTAAAAATAAGTGAAATATATCAACCAAAATAAAGCTTGATGTTAGAAACTCTCATGGTACCATGAAAAACCAATATATTTGATCTAATAGATGATATGCTTCCAAATAGATGAGTGTAATCATATTAAATCAAATGTTATTTTAAAGTCTCAAAAAATCTCACTAATTTAAAGGTATTGATCCCTTGTAATATCAATGGATCATTGTGAAGTGTCAATAATTAGCCAAATTTATATGACTTACAAATCTGGAATTTTCATACCAAGCACAGCTGTATTCCATTTGGTATAGCAAGAGAAAAAAATGTATACTCCTTGATAAGTAAATGAAACACTCCATCTAAGTAATCCTATAGCCAGCTTTCCGTTGCTATTCAAAAATTGTATGAGAGGGGAAAAAAAAGCATAGCCTCTCTAACTAACCAGTTTTAGTGTTCAATAACCTTAAGTCCAAAAGTTTCCCTTCAGAAGTCTCTTTGTTCCTGATACTCAGGCCTCAAATTCTCTTTTCTGTTGACAAGTTATATGGTAAACGGGATGGATTACAAGCCCTCAGCTGATGGAAATGGCATATAATTCATTAAAACTAAAAACCTGCTGCCGTTGAGTCAATTCCAACTCACAGCGACCCTATAGGACAGAGTAGGACTGCCCCATAGGGTTTCCAAGGAACAGGTGGTGGATTCAAACTGCCAACCTTTTGATTAGCAGCCAAGCTCTTAATCACTGTGCCACCAGGGCTCCTATAATTCATTAGAGGACAGTTAAATGTAACATGGACCAAACAGCTCCCATTATAAGGAACAGGAGAAGCAGACACCCTTTGCTTACATACTATCCTATATTAAAAGTCTACACTTTGACACTTCTCTGTTAGTAAAAATTTCCTATCTTATTCTTTAAAATTAGATTCCTGACAAAATGAAATATAAATTCACTAGTGTCTAAAAACAAATAACAAAAGGCTGCCCAAGATAAAATAATTCAGTTTTTTTTCAAAGAAGATTATAAAGCAGTGTGTATGCTTACAAAAAGACACTGGTTTTCTAGGAAATAATTAGTGACCATTTTTAGAACAGCTATTTAAAGTTACTGATTTGATCATTCACAAATAGTCTAAGTATTACCAATAGAAATGATACAGCTCAAAATAAACAGGAGAGTTAAATTTTAGAGCAGTAGATTTAAAATTAGTAGTATTTCAACACGATAGAACTTTCTAAGTTATATGACAGCAACTGGATAAAAATAACTAAGAAAATTTTAAAAATTTAAGATTATATTTTTATATGTAATCTACAAGTATGTAAGTTTTCAGAAAATCAACAATTAAACACTACAGTTTCTCACTTATATTTAATCTGTTAGCCCTTGAGTGTATATTTTCTCGTGAGGTTTTTCCTCCTCTCTTTTTTCTGTTAGGTGGATTAGACTGCTCATTGTTCAGAGACATTTTCCTGATTACTAGGAAGAACTATGTGTGTTGTATTGATCCGCCTGTTTCAAGACTGGAGGCTAGGTTTCAAGATACAAATGTGTACTTTGCTCAAATAATAGCCAATTTTTTCCCTTTTTGCATTTTCCACCTCACAGTTGGAGTGGGAAGCAAGGGTAACTCTAAATAAACTTTGAGAAAGACAGAGGCAAAGACAGAGAGAACACATCATTTGAATAGCTAAATGAATTTTACATAATCCCAGGATCCTTTTTCAAATGGGAACTCAGTTTCCCAAATGATAATTCCCTGCAGCGTAGAATGGCAGTGAGAAGACTAAATAACGTAAAGCATTTTTTAATTTCATTGTTTTGTTTTCATCTGCCTTTCTATACCCTCCCTATGTCTTTGACTTGCAGCTACCCATGCAAAAGATGTGGAGTGAATCAGGAAGGCCGAAGAAGAATTGACGCCTTTGAATTATGGTGTTGGTGAAGAATATTGAATACACTATTGACTGCTAAAACAAAGAACAAATCTGTCTTGGAAGAAGTACAGCCAGAATGCTCCTTAGCAGAGAGGATGACAAGACTTCGTCTCACATATTTTGTACGTTTTATCAGGAGGGACCAGTCACTGGAGAAGGACATCACGCTTGGTGGAGGGTCAGCGAAAAAGAAGATGACCCTCAACAAGATGGACTGACACAGTGGCTACAACAATGGGCTCAATCATAACAACAATCTTGAGGATGGCCCAGGACTGGGCAGTGTTACGTTCTATTGTACATAGGGTCACTATGAGTCAGAACCAACTCAGCATCACTTAACAACAGCAAGATTTAAAACCCTTTGGCTTACCCCAATCACAGTGAGAAAGAAATGGAGAGCTTAAATTAGTAGCAGAGACTGCATGTCCATCCCCCCCGCCCCACTCTTCCTTCTCTTTTCCACCATTCCATCTATCTTTGTATGTCAGAAAGAGTTTAACACAAATAATGGTTAGTACCTTTAGTATGGTACATTTCAACAATACAATGTGTGCTGTTCTTAAGACAAGAAAACATACCTCTCATTTTTCAAACATATGTGAAGAAATTATTCTTGCTTTTTGGGTAAGAAGAATTGTAGCATGTGTGAACCCGACAAGTCAGTATAAGGTGCACAAGAAAATAACTAAAGTCTTATTCACATTATGACTTATAAAAGTGGATGCCTGAAAGGTAGAAACAGGCTAAATGTTCATCAGAAGATGGATCGATAAACAAAATATGGTACATACATAAATGGAAAATCACTTAGCCCTAAAGAGAAATGAAGTCATGATACTTACTACGACACAGATAAGCCTTGAAAACATTATACTGAGTGAAATAAGTCAGTAACAGAAAAGACAAATATTGTGCGATCTCACTTATATGAAATATCTAGAACAGTCAAGTATACAGAGATCAAAGTTTCTTAGTGGCTACCACAGGTCGGGGGGTTGGCGCAGAAAAGGAAGACACAATGCTTAGGGAACACTCAGGGTCTTTTAAGGATGATGGAAAAATTCAGGAATGGTTAATGATGATGTGATGGTTGAACAACATGATGAACCTATTCAATGTCATTGAACTGTACATGTGAAGACTGTGAAAAAGGCACATGTTTCGTTACCCAAACATTTACCACAAAGAAAAAATAAGTGGATGCCTACAAAACAATTTGACTCAAACAAAGATAGAGGATTTCAGGTCAAATATGATCTTTCTCAAATACTTAGATATTTGACAGAAGTTAATTCTAAAAGGAAAAGTCAATGAAAAACAATTATAGCAATATTAAAGACTTGCTGAATTCATTTTATACTTAACATTAACTTCAACAAAATAACAACAAAACATATTCCCATAGCTGCTACCATTCACTTAGGTTTGCAAATGCACAGCGATGTCTGAGGACGTGAAATGCTTTAAAGGAGGTAAAGCAGTCATCAGAGTCATTTTGTGTTTAAAACCTTGTGAGAGATTAATGATTTGCAGAAAAAAAAAAGTGTAGCCAATTTATCAAAAAACTCCAGCAGATTTCTATATCCTTAGATATTTTGTTCTTTTTCCATTAAAAAAAAAATCTAAAAAGCAATTTTTAACTTTAGAATTACATAGCAAAAGAATACATTCTGGAGGGCTCTGAATTGTAATGAAAAGTGTATTAAAAGAGCTACAGATGCACTGATCATGTCTTGTGTTCTCTGGTGTGCACAGTTTAACTGCCCTAAGCCAGTCAATACTATACATAGGCTACTCAGAACGCCAAGGAATGTTTTCTTCTGTTATCACTTGCAAAGAACATGTTTTTATCTTAAATATTTCAGAAAAAAAGACAAAACAGTAGGCTTAAACAGATAGCTGGTGTCTAACTTTAACCTTCCCACACTTCCCTAGAAAGTTAAATAATTTCATCGTAACACCTTTCAATATGAGAATTTAAAAAAATGTCCTGTGTAACATCTATCTACTTCTTTCCTTTTACTCCTAAGGTCAAATAATAACATGTGATCTTAAAATTTGTTACATCCTCAGTGAAAAATGCTCTTTTGATATATTTTAGACAGGTACTTTATGTTACAAAACTCGTTTTTTTGTTTTATTAATCAGTTACATTTTTATATGCTTTACCTTGAGTTCCATTCAATCTTCTTTTCCAAGCTGAGACTATTAAAATCTGGTGAAACTTTTGCTGAAAACCAAGAACTCACAAAGTGGAAAAGAAGCTGACAGGTGACAAAGCTGGCAAATATAGTGCCTAGTATTTTAGTGATGGCATCCATTATTTCTTCAGTCTGTTAAAAGAAATGATAGATACAAATTGTTTCCTCATGATAAATCTACGTTAAAAATTGCTTACATTTTAAAGAGTATGCAGGTTTTTTTAGTAATTTTTAAACATTAATACAGAGAGACTATAAGAATTTTAAGCCTTTTGTGTTTCTTCACCTTTACCAGCTATTTGTCATGAATCTTACATTTGTATTTAAAATAAAAGAGGGGGAAAAATCTATTATCTTAAAGATTTAAATGTTATAAATTTTAGAAGGTAACTTTAACATCATGAGATTCAAAATCATCCAAGCTTTAAAGTTTAACATTAAGAGGAAATCTGAAGTACTATAACTGAAGATATTCTTTTAGTAATATTATTTTTTATTAAACTTAGGAAGAATCAGCTGATTTCTCCATGCCTCAGTTTCCTCATCTATAAAGTGAGAGAGCTGGTTAGATAACTTCTAAGGTAAAATTAAGCAAAAAGTCATAAGAGAAATAACAGTACCTGTAAAATCAAAATAAACAATAATTTCCAAATAAAAACTAAGTATACAGTAGGATAAACAATATTTAGAACAAAATTAAAATTGTTAGAACAGCACAGTCTTAGAAAAGAACCATAACACTTATTACTTAAATTAGTATTTAACTTTTAAAAATATTCTGCAGTCACACATACCCTTGGTCCAAAAATCCTTGATGGTTTTTATTTGGTTCCTAACAACCTTAGTAACATTCAGGCCAAAAAAAGACACTAATGCATTTGCTCATACCCAGCAAACAGAACATTTCTATGCCTCCATTTTTGATGGAGCTGACCCCCAAATGAAAAGGAAATGAATCAATACACATTTCCAGCTGCCTAATGTGAAGGAAAAAAGTCACCTACTGAAGACAATTCAGTACAGGAAAACCAGGTCATTGACTGCACCAGCAATTACCCCACTTCATTCCCTTCCAACCAGGATATCATAATAAGAATCAGTCGCCCACAGGGGCCCTTCCCACATAGCTCATGTGTCTATAACAAATTCTTTCTTCATTCTATTTTTTTTGTGCTCGGTAAAAATATAGATATACAATTCTTCTCACTGGGACTCCATTAACTATATTGCTTATTTATTTTTTTATTTAATGCAACACATGTTGATTGGGTATTAAAATATTTAATTTGAGGTCTTTTAGCCTAAGTTTAATATTAACCAAATAATACATAAAAGTTTTGTACATAAATTATCATTACAATCTACTAAGTGAGGTGTAAAGGGGAAATGTTCTTCTAAGATTAAAGCAAATAGGGTTTCGAGGCCAGGGGGACAAATAAATGAAGAAAATGAAACCAGTCATAAGAACAGAGTGAACAGTCTGTTCTTAACTGGAGGGGTGGTTTGCTCTGAAGGGTTTTGTCTGCTCCCTGCTGGTCCTACAGTGGGGCTGGGCACAGGCTGCTCTTTGATTTCATTAAAATCCAATGTATACTCTAAGCATTTATTTCATAAATGTTTGTTAAAAGTTATGCTATAAAACATTTATAAATAGGTATCATGTAGCATCCATTTTATGAACTAATTTAACTAATCCAGTAAAAGGCACTCAAACAATTCACCATTAAGATATTTATCATTCTCCTCTAAAAAAGTTTTTATTGGCGTGTGTTAAAAGGTTTCATGAGCCCATATAATGATAATCTGTACCATATTTTCATACTCTCCTCAAATCCAGATGTACATAATTATTGATTTATCTGCCATCCTCAGTAGCCCTAACATTCTAGGATTTAAAAGTTTCTGTCTGCAACCTAAGTCATTTTTAAATGAACACATGACTGTTAGAAATGAGTTATTTACCAAACCAACTAGCCAAACAAGCAAAAAGGGCCCAATCAAAACAGACACACCTGCCCCACACACGTTCTGTTTTTTGTTTGCATTTTCATATGGGTGGCATATTGCAGTTATCTGTCTAAATGCGCATAAAATATCCATAACTGACCTAGAAATGTTCAAATCCCTTAGTAAAAAATAACCATTACACTACCCACTTCTGAACTTTCATTCATGTAAAAACTGTTAAGCATCCAATACATGCAAAGCATTTGGCTAACTGCTGGCAGTTTTTTTTTTTTTTAAATTTTGCATTGAGAGCATAGTAAAAGAAAAGTTAGAATCATGCATGAAAATATTCCATTTCTTTTTCTTTTCGGAGCACTGTCAACAACCATTAGCATCAGTGTGAAAGGCTAGATGAAGCCAGCTGCTTAAAACAGTGGACCTTAACCTCTGTAAATCCTCTAGTATTCATGGTGCTGCTTTTTCAACTGACGCAAATGGAAAGAAAATGAAGCTAAACCAGGGAAAGGCTAGGGAACCCTGCTTTAATACGATTATGCTTTACTCCTTTTCTATGATGCTATATGAACGAGGGAGAAGTTTTCCATGCCTTCCCAATGTACTCTTTAAAGATTTTTTTAAAAGCCTATTTGGAGAAAGCTACTTAAAATTAAGTTGACCAAGAGAATTTCTCCATTTATGAAAAACTTGAAAAATTAAATTAAAACTAATATATAAATCCACCAATTCTTGGTTATTTCTAGGATTTGCCATGGCAGAATGTTCACTAATACAGCTTAGGCCAGCAGCTAAATTTGTGCCCACAGAAGTAGCAGGGTAGACACCATAAATCAGAGGGATCAGAGATAACATTAGAGAAACCAGGGTTGAAGGCAGAGAGATACCAGAAGGTAGAGGAGAGGTGAAGTCAAATACTGAAAAAATATCAGCTTAGGTAAGAAATTCAGACAAGGCAGAGATGGGTCTAAGAGAGGATCCAACTAGGTCAGACTGTCCATGATTAAAGCACCCAGTATCTAAGCAACACAACATCTTAGGCTGGGTTCTCCAGAGAAGCAAAACCAGTAAAGCATATATGTATGTATATATAGACAGAGAGATTTATATCAAGGAAATGGCTCACAAGGTTGTAGAGGCTGAAATATCCCAAGTCCGTGGGTCAGGATAGAGGCTTCTCCTGATTCACGTAGCCACAGGTGCTGGCAAACCCAAGATCAGCAGGTTAGAGAGCTCTTGCTCACAGGCTGCTTAGATCGATGAATCCCAAGACCAGTAGGCTAGACTGCAGGTAAGCTTCTAGCTCAAGTCCCAAGAACCAGAGGTCACATGAACAGGAGCCAGCTGCGGGATCCAGCATATCAAAAAAACCCAGGCTTTGCCAGAACATCTGCTTATATTCAGTGCAGGCCACACGCCCAAGGAAACTACCTTTCAAATGATTGGCTACTCACAGCAGATGCCATCCTGGGGGTGAACTCTGATAGCTGTGTACTTTTTCTCCAGGCATCCCTTTACTTGCCCATTGGTGGGAGTGTTAGGTGCTGGAGGCAGATGTTAATTGTCATGAAAAGGAAATCAAAGGCCAGCAGATAGACTCTGACCTTGATTTACTCAAGGGCATACATAGTGGAATTAGCTCACAAATGTTGGCAGTGGCTTCACTTATTTCTCCAGGAAGCTTTTTTGGCTGGCCCAAAGACTATGAATGATGACCCGAGTTTGATTGTAGATCTTGAAATTGACTTCTAAAAAACACTTGATAGTCTAACCCTTTTATAAAATTTAATAAGGATACTTTTCCAATTCTCTGTGAGGCAAGCAGCCAATATCCGGATGAGTTTGATCAGCAAATGGGGTTTAGAAATAACATATTCCATTTGCTTCTCTCTGCAAGAACTTCTCAAAGCTGGAAGGGTAGGTGGGAGCCTCCCACCTACCTGCTCTGCTGTCTGAGCACTTCTACTCCCTATGCAGCTGATGAAAGTGGACATGTCCTAAACCCATCAGCTACTTTGCTCCAGATCCATTTGTCTTCTCATTTAACCTACAGAGAAAAATCTACTGTTCTAAAGGCATCTGCATTCAAATCCAAGTTTGTTCCTTCCATGCTTAATCACTTGTTTTGCTTCGAAGTGGATAGAACTGTTGGGAAACCCTCCTTCTTATAGCAGTCCTATTGGCCGCTTGCGGCTGTTGGGACCCCTGGCCAAAGTGGATGGGGCCCCGAGGCTGGCAGAGGGAACGACCTTTGGGTGCTGGAACTTGGGTCGTGGAGAGGACTCAAAAAACGCAAACACGCGAGGTGAGCAGCGGTGGGATCCTGGAACAGCAAACCTCGCCAGGAGCAGAGCGAATGGTTCCCGGGCTTTCCAAAACAAGTAACAAAACTCGCCGATTGGAGAGAACGGAGTCTGACCCCGCAGCAATCAGTACCTAGGATCGCCACGTAACCAAAAACCTTTTCAGAGTATGACTTTACAGTCTGCTCCAAACGCTCAAATACTAAGTAAATGAACTGTTATGATTTGCTTATTAGAAAGGAGATGAAAGGGCGATTGTTGATTTTTCCTCCCTTGTCTGTCATGGCCAAAGTCGACTCCCTCCCTATTCTTGCTTGACGTTGCAGGTGCCTTGCAAACTGGGTAGGGGGCGTGTGTGGGAGTGGCACTCAGAGCAGCTTTCCTTTGGAATCCCTGAGGAACATCCTCAAGAGAGTGCACCAGCAAGCATTCCACCCATACCCGCAGCCTCTAGGCTGTCGGGGTGGGGAAGTAGGATTTGAATTTTTGATGCTGACTGAGAATCCCAAATTGGCTACTGCATAAAGAAAATTTGCCACTAAACAGTAAATTTTCTGCCCTGTTATACAGAGCCTGAAAGAAACTTCAGGTGTTCTGGATCAGCCAGACAGAATTGTTTTTAATAAACAAAACAGTGAAGAGATGCATTTATGCTGTTATAATTTGCAAAAACCAACCACAAATCCTTTTTTGAAAAGAAGTGAGTATAAGCAATTTGTGAACACCAACATTAATAACATGGGACAGTTATTTGTAAGAAATATCTATCAGCAGAGCTAACATATATGATCAAATGCAGCCCCCACATACCTATTTTCCAGGGGGAAAGCAATAGAAATAAGAAGAC